CCGGTCCGGGGCGGTGCAGAGGGAAGCGGTCCCAGTCCCGGGATCGGTCCCAGTCCCGGGATCGGTCCCGGTCTGGGATCGGGGCCGGTCCGGGGCGGTGCTGCCCGGGGCGGGGGCGGGGGCGGGCGCGGGGCCGTGCGGCGCAGCAGCGCCCCCTGGCGGGGCGGGGCGGCGCGTGCTCGGGCGCGGAGCGCGGCGGGATCGGGAGCGGTGCGGGAGCGGAGCGGGATGGCGGGCGCGCTCACCGACCTGCTGGGAGAGGTGCTGGTGGCCGCGGACGGCGAGGAGGTGGCCGTGTCGGCGCTGGCCGCCCGCGGGGTCTCCCTGGTGGGGCTCTACTTCGGCTGCAGCCTCGGCGGCCCCTGCGCGCAGCTCGGCGCCAGCCTGGCCGCCTTCTACGGGCGCTTCAGGGGGGAGGCGGCGGCGGCCGGCGGGCAGCGCCTGGAGATCGTGTTCGTGTCGGCCGAGCAGGAGCAGCAGCAGTGGCAGGAGGCGGTGCGGGCCATGCCCTGGCTGGCGCTGCCCTTCGCCGACAAGCACCGCAAGGTGAGACCCGCGGCCGGGCGGGGGGCGCGCCCCGGGCTTTGTCTGGGGGCGGGGGGGTGCCTTCCAGAAAGTTCCCCCGGGAGCCGGGAAGGGGGTGTCCGCTGCTGTCCCGCGGGGCGACAGCGCCTCGCCGGGCTCCTGCGGGGCCTGGGAGCCGCAGCGCTGGGGGAGCCCCGCAGGCTCCGTCCCGCACGGGTGGGGGGCAAGAAGCCCTGGCTGCGGGTCGTGGCTTGTCGGGGGCGGTGGCACCCGCTGGCCTCGAGGGGTCCCGCGGAAGGAGCGCGGCTGCGGGCGAGGCGTGAGCGGAGCAGCTCCTGCGAGCCCGGGCGCGGGGCACGGCACCACTCAGGTGGGAACCAGAGCTTGGTGTGGGCTGGGGACGCGAGTGGGTCCGGGCACGGAAAGGGGCTGTGGCCTCCACCAGCCGTGGGAGGACACGCGGTGGTTGGGGAGCGAGTGAGCCCGGCTCGGCCGGGAGCTGCTGGCGAAGCTGCCCGGCCAGTTTGTGGGATGGGGTTCGTTGCTCTCGTTTCGCACCCGGTGTGTTCAGATATTCTGCCAGTTACGGCCTCTCATCTGGAGAGTTTAATCAGAGAGAGACACATAATGGACAAAAAGCGCTGTTAAGACCCCAGGCAGGGCGGGGTGTGAGGGACGGGGAGGAACAGGCTGAGCCTCCAGTTCCCAACGAGCTCGAGACGTTTGTAGTTTAAAAAAAAAATAAATCCTCTTTACAAATCTAATCTCTGGAAGCAATTGGGCAAGAATTAAAAAGATGGTGCCCCACAGTGCCATTTCTAAACATCTTTCCAGCGAGGGATTGTGGCTGCTGGTGTGGAAGCAGCGGGCAGGCTTTGGTTTGGCTTTGGTGAGGCTCGTTCAGTGGGGTTGGGGTAGCGCCGGTACCTGCGGGGTCGGGGGCGGCTGAACCCCCTCAGGCATCCCCTGTGTTGGGATGTTGCGAGGCTGTGTTGGGATGAGAGGGATGACTTCTTCCTGCATGGGTCTCTGAACCCGGCTCTGCCAGCACTTTGCTCTCTCCTTTAGGCAAAGGAGTCGTTTAAGGAAAAGTTGGCTGTCTCTGGCAGCGCTGA